AATCCCATGAGGGAAATTGCAGTGCAACAGCAGCCAGGCTCAATCAACTGTCTACCTTGCTGTCTATGTCTTCCCCATGTGGCTCACAAAGCACATGTGGTAACATGCAGACACCTCCATAACGTAGATCCTCCATAACCTCCTAAATCCATCTCCTCACACTTCTCATGGATGCAGGTGGGCACTGGCCAATAAGCTTGTATACTGGTGTAAGCAGAACAAGGTTGTGGTCTGATCTTCCAAGGGGGAAGGGCAGTGGAGCTATAAGCATCCTTAACATTAGCATACAGTTAGTCCAATGTTTTATTTTCCCTGGTTGAGCACTTAACAAACTGGTGGAAAGTAGACAGAGTGGTGGAAAGAGAAACATGATTACAGTCCCCTGAAGTAGCCATGAAAGCGCTAGGGTGTTGTGCTTGCAGTCTGGCTGTGACTATTTGTATAACGTCACACACTGCTTCTGCATTAGCCATAGGCAGAATGTAAACAATAACAAGGAGGGTGCATATACAGACACCATTTTGTGTATGCCGTCTCTGCATGCACTCTTCTCCGAGAGGGGAGTTGAACATGGCCCCCACATACTTGGAGGTCTCTGGGCCCGAGAGTCTTGAGAGTCCTCATTCAAGCCTATACCTTTGTCCTGTTCAATCTCTTCCGAGATCCTTCGTGGGTCCCTTGCATCGATGAACTCTACAATCACGGTTTCCTGGGCTTGACAAGCTTCACGTCTCATATACCCTTTATGGTCTGCATCTCTCACAAGACTAAGGTCTTGTTTGGTGTCCTCTAAGGGAACGTCACCCTCACCCACTTACCCACAGCTGTTTCTTATGATTACTGTGACTCAAGTTAGCTGTAGTTACCTTGGTAACATCTCCCAACAAAAACCCCGTCCCTTAAAGGGGACATGCCAGGGGCAGCATTACATCCTGTATTAACATTGTGGAGAAAATTGTGACTTGTGGCACTGAAGTAGTTCACTTTGGAAATGATGGAACATCAATTGAGAAAGTAAATTGTTATATCAAATTTGCTTTTAGAAGTGAGAATACATACAAACCTACAGTAAATGTCTTTCTACTGAATCCTATAAACCTAGATTGCACTGGACAGTAATTTTAAAATTCCATTACATAGTTTAGAATAATTAAAATCCCAAGTAAATTTAATTGCAACTTAATCAACCACCTTTCTAATAGAAAGGAATTGATAATGATACATTGCCTCATTCAATTAAACTTACTGTAGTGTGTTAATGTAGAATCACAAAGCATGCTCACAACACAGGACTAGCTGTGTTTAAATGGTTAGCCAGTTTATTAAAGCATTGAAGATTTTAAAGGTTTTATTTAAAAGGCTAGAAGAAATTCTCCCAATACCTTGGGTTTGAGCACCTTAAAAACAGAAATAAAAGAAAGAAAAACATTTTTTGCGGAGCTATTATTACTCTGCTTGTTTAGTGTCAAATTCATTTTTTCTTGTGCCACTAAAACCCCCTTTTCTGTATTTAACCTTGCTTTTGTAGACATGGTGTGGAGATAACTTATACCAGAAAAGGATGATTCAGTTCACCAGAGCACTACAGACAATATTTTACCCATAAGATGATTGTAACACATCACTAACATGAACCTGATCTGTACTAAATAGTCCTAATAACACTAACCTTCCAATTTTCTATAGTTCCAGATATTTGTCTGTGTTTGTGATGTATGTTTGTATTGATACATTAATTACAGATTTAACTTGAAGGAATTATCTTATTGGTTCTTAGTCTATCAATAACGTTTTGTGTTGCGAGGGCAGATTTGAACAATCCCACATTTAACAGGTTCACTCTTCACTTCAGGTGCTGGGATCTAAAAACACAGGCCCTCCAGAACCAGGATTGAAAACGTCATGTTTACTAGCATGCACTGCTAGTCTGTTTTTATACTGTTTAAAGAATGTGGTTTTTGTTCTTTAAAACCAAGTGTTACCTTGGTACAGTATGTACAGCACCTGCAACACAGTCATTCAACTCCACTCTTTTTTTGCTGGCTGTCTGTTAAGTGATATTAGTGGATTTGACACCATTCTGCTTTCTACTGCATAAATGATTTGCTCTCACCTTTCCCAGAACACACCCAGCTGAACTGATGTTTGTATATGTTGTATTCTTTCAAAATATGTTTGACCTATTACAGGAGATGAACCTTCTCCTCTCTATATGTCAGGACTGTGGAATATTTTGTTCTTTGGATTACGGACTGGTAGTGACAACAAGCTCAATAAAGGAATGGCCTTTATTCTGTAAAGAAAATACATTAAAAATCTTCTTACTGGATGCTTCTTATTAGAAAGAATGAAGGTCTAATAAAGGTGTAAATGCAGTATCCCTATTTAGTTTTTTACAAAATTCATACTGTATATCCAATATTCAACACATTGAAGCATATGGCTTTTACCTGAAATGTACAGACCTCACAAAGACATGACATTTAGCAATCTGTATCATTTTAAGAATACAACATGATACAGATTCTAAGAATGTTAAAGTAACAAAGCATTGATCTGAAATTTCTCTCCAACAATCAACTTACCTCAACCTAGTCCTTAAAAACAAGACTTTTCATGATTATCAAAGAACCAACCTACACTAGCAATTAAAGTCTCCTTTGAAAAACAGCTCCACTTAAGTAAAGTACAGTACATTAATGTAATCCTAGTCTTGTAAACCATTAATGACTTTCTTAAAAATAAATTAAAGAAAGCACATAGTGCTGTACATAGTGCTTTCTGTTTAATTAGAAAGGATGAAAAAAATCATTATTGAAACTGAATGCACCAATGTTCTGCTACTACATTTTCTAATGGTTTATGTGAAAATGGCTGTAGCATGTGGTTTACAAGCTACGTCATTTTCCTCCATTAATGTCCTCTGTCTCCTTCGGTAGTTCAGAAAAAAACACATTTACCATTTATGAGAATGCTTGAAAGGAAACATACATAAATATACTGAAAGCAGATTTTAAACAAATGCCACTTTAAAAGGTAATTATTTAGGCTGAGTGGCTCACTTAGTAAGATTCTTCTATAGTGCAGAGATCAGCACAGCCTGGAAATTGCTAGTTCCACCTCTGAAAAGTTGGCAGATAAATGGCAAGCTCCACTAAAACTGGGTTAGGCAGAAACAACTGGAGTAATGCTAAACCTGTGGCTTGCCAGGTGACAGCAAATTTGTGACATTAGCCACAGTTTTTATCACTTGACAAAAGCTTTTGTAGTTCAATCTAATTTGAGAGGCAGAATATTGCAGAGTGCGATGTCTATCGCCACTTTCCACAGGCCTTGTCCTTGTTTGGTGCCTCTGAGGTTATAGCCTTTCAAAGAGCTTTAAAAAGAGGTGAAAGCTCCAGCCTTTCAAATCTAGTTTCATTCCAAATTGCAATTCATTTAAAAAAAAAAAAAAACGATTTTTATGTCAAAGAAGTCCTTGAATGTACTGTATATTAGAATTGGTAAGGGATGTTATAGAGGAACTGGAAAAAAGGGAAAGTGCCCATTGTCAAATCAATTGTCAGATTACATGCTGTTGTGTGTACAGTATGCTGCTCCCGTCTCAGCAAATGGGATTCTAGGTTGTCTACTTTGAAATTCCTTTTTATCCCTTTGCAGTGTGCAGTGCCATCAAATACATCATCTCTCTGCTCCCAGCTCTTCCTCCATCATGTCGTCAGATATGTCAGTACTTTGCTATTACAATTGTGCTATTCCGTTTCTGAGCCTCAGTGTTGCAACTGCCAAGAAAACAAAATGACAACGGTCTGTACTGCTCTAATAAATAGGATGGCAGAGTCACACACAGAATGAAAACATCAATCCTGTAAGAGCCTGCTCTTTAACCTCTACAGCTTTACACTTGAATTAAAAACCTTGAGGGTACCCAAACAATAAACAGCTTATCCTCTACATACAAACTCATAATTATGGTTTTCTGTTTTTGACATATGATTGCTGCAAACACAACACTATAGTAGAGCACTAAGCATTTAATCTCAAGAGTTTATGATAAATTTCAATTTATTATCTATCTTATGCTACCCTGCTTGCAATTTAAAACATAAGTGGCCTTTTAATAACATGTTGGCTACCGCATAACATGCCACTGGTTCACAGACTGTTTTAAAGGTAAAAATTCTGTGCGGCAATTTGTTCTAGTAACTGTAGATTGCCTTCATTAAAACCACATAAAATTTGGAAAAAATGACATCCCTTCTTATTCCTTACCCAGCACAGTAAGTAATAATGCCTTGTTGTGAGAGAATACCATATAATACATTGAAATCTCAGGATAAATGACTTAAACTGAAAAATATTTTACATCCAGATGAAGAAAAAAAAATATTTACCCTGCCAACAATATTTAATATACTGAATATTCCTATTAAATAGACAACATTACTAGTGGAATTCATTAAAACATTCCAAGCTGTAGAAAGCATTTTAAATAGATAAATTCCACATAGGATTGTCACCTACTGTATGTGATGGACCTTATTATAAACCTGAATTAAATCAGAGAAATTACATTTCACATATTGTACCTGTAGGACCTGGAACAGAATTCTAAAATGATAGAGCGGCATCCAACAAGTTAAATCAAAGCCCAAGATGCCAAGCAGTGAAAGCATTCAATTTAAAAATATCTCCCTCTAGCCCTCCTTTCTAGAAGGGTTTAGAAGTCTTTTAAAGTGACAGAAATTACCCAATAACACTTTTTTTTGGCTTCTCTGTGAACTTAAAAAAATCTTCAAATGGCCTATATAACAGAAACGCTAAATAATACAGCATACATCCTCTTAAACTACTTCATTCCTTGCACAAAAGATGCTTGCAGTGCAAAAAGGTTCCACTTCAGAAGTAGGTACAGCACTATGAAAATACCTGTGGGAGTGAAGCAAAACAGATGACAGATATGAACGCTTTGAAAAAGATCTGGCTCAAGAGCCACAAACTACAATGAAAGAACACCATCTTTATATATGATACCGCCTCTGGGAGATGTTTAATTCAACACTGAAATCAGACTATGAGCAATCAGCCTTCATGTAGAACTGTGATTCCATTTTTTGTAAGACACAGAAAACACTCTTTGAAAGTACACATGAAAAAAGGTGATAAAATGTGTTACTTTCATAGTCACATCATTTAAACTCAACAAACATCAAAATGAGTGCAACATAAAGTTTGTTTCATCAGAAAAACCATCTTAGGCTTGGTAGGAGATCTGTATCTAAGTGTACAGTACATTGGTTATTTTTCTTTTCTATGCAACAATTATTAAGGTACAAAGAAGGTTTGTACTGCCAGCAAGAAACACATCCTTGAAACGTAACATCCAATTCCACAATTTTAGAATCAATATAATGTAGTCTTTTTTTGCCTCTAATTTTATGGACACTGATTCTTGTCGTCATCATGTAGTTTCACGGACACATTATGTGGTGTCAGCAAATGGGTGGAACGTTTGAATGCCAAAAATAAATAAACTGTTTAAAAAATTATCATGTGAAAATGATCCCCCCCTTCTCGATGATTCAACACACTGCAGGTTAGCAGCCTCCCACTCGATCTCTAGGAATGATGCGAAGCTCTGATCCATGCTTAAGGAACACATTTCCTACAGCAATTTAAAAAGACAAAAAAATAACATGTAAAAAGGGACTGTCAATCACTTGAAAGACTTAACTGATTGTGGATACAGACGGAATCACAGAATGTATTATTAAATTACTTTATTAGACTGAAAATCCCCATATTTTTAAACCAAATTTGACCCAGACTACATAAATGAACTTTAATATCTGCAGATACAGGAGAGGATTAGATACAGTATATGTATCGTTCATTCATTTTTCAAGGAGAATAAGGATATTTATCTGCACACAATATACAATTGTGACTATACCATGGTTTTGTTGCATTGAATTTACTGCATTAATACACAATAAATAAGTCACAAACATTAGCCTGTGTCTTTTATCATAATGAATCTTCAAAACTACATTTATAAGTCAGCTGATATTCATGAGCTAAAGACAAATCATGCAAAGAAACATTTAAAATATATCACAAATTAAAACAAGAAGTATGGATCTTAATAACAGAATCAATACTCTTCTGCCCAAAGTCAATGAAAGAAAAACTATTGTCAGCTTTAATTTTGCTGGCTTTGAATTCCATGAAGACAACCTGTCTGTTTCTGTATGACAGCAGGCATACAGCTGTAGTTGAAATGACCTGGCATGTTATCAAGGTTAAGCGCAATGTGATTTGAACACATCCAGACACTGTTTTTACAATTCTGCCTGGAACAACTAACTCTTCTATTTGGTCATTTTTATAATTGATTTTTCCATTAAAATGGTTGCTTGCCGAGTTTTCAACAGATAGTTACAAAATCTAGCCTAAAGATAAATTGCCAAGCTCCATTCCGCATTTACTTGTATGTACTTCCTCATAAAGACAAGATGTCAAAGAGAGATTGTCATTTGAATATATAGCCCTACACTCAGAGAACACTAAAACATTGTTTTATTTTAATTTTAAAGCATCTATCAAAGGACCACGTGGAAAAAACAATTACATTTAATTAAAGCTGTGTCTGGCTAAAGTTCAGACTTAATTACAGGTTAAACTCACCAGTCATTAGCACATTCCAAACTGACCAAAATACTGTTGGTCAGAGGCTTTTCTTGCCTACCATATGGAAATGTGGTTTAGAATTTTCAATAGGCTGGTAGTGAAAAATGTTTAGAGGGGACCACCTTTAATTCATTAATAAGAATCAAAATGAAATACCAAAAATATTCAATACAGTGATTCCAACTGTTCCAAATGATTCTTTTAGATGTGCTTTGAAACTCTTGATATTTAAAAGGAACTAAATATCTTGTTTTATCGTTTTAAGTACTTAAATATAACAGGGATTGCTTCTAGGTAAAATAGCTCTAGAAGTATAAAACATGTATGCTAAAATATAAAATAAACATGATCAATACCATTATAGAAAGAATTAACTTCTTTAAACCTGTATCTACACATCATGTAGTTTTTCAAGTGTATCTCAGTTACAGAAATAAAAAAGACAAATGCAGTTGTACTGTAAGCTTTTAGCGCATCCTTCAAAGCTTGCGTAATGAAATCTAAAGGACTTAAAGACTAAGTTCAGTTGAAGGATACTACATGCACACAAGCTCTGCTACAAACTGTATTTGACATAATTGTGGTATGCATTGACTGTTACAGTAATTCATCTTGGAAGTTAGCATGAAGATTAAACAAACCTGCTGTCTGAGCTGGATTTATTCCAATGCCATCTGTGAAAAGCAAACAAAACCAAAATAGTATGAATCAGTGATAGGAAACAGAGTCTATGGATCAAGACTCACCTTAGAATAGAGAAAAATAAATTTATTAGTTAATTATGAAGAGTTCCTTAGGACAGTGTTTCATTTGATCAGTGAAAACAAAAACAAGCAGGAGCAATAACCTGTGACTAAATAAAATAATAGTAAACACATATACAGTATGTATATACATATATAACCTCAAATAACTTGGAAAAGGTTCATATGGAAAATGTCTTACCATTTGTAATGATTGCACTTGTTGCAGCTGGGACTTTAAACTGAGGAAAGAACAAAATAAAGCAACATATTTACAGTGCAAGTGACTGGAAAAAACAAAACATTGGGCAGCAAAGCATCCAATCCAATAAAACACAAATTAAGCACCTAACACTTGTGACTCCCTGTAATACTGTATATTACAAAGGAAAGGGCAAACTAGTAAAAAAAAAACTTATTACAAATTGTAAACCAAAACAGGAGATACAGTAGTCTAACATGCCAAACCCAGACATTGACAATTGCTTGACACTGACTCCTAGACACGGTGGCAGCTTTTTTTGCAGCTTGAAAGTGTCTTCCCTTTTTTTTTTCTACCTTGGTTAAAAGAAAAGTCAGATTTTCAAATCGTGTGTGCAATTCATCTTCATTAACGTGACTCTGCTCGCCTCGGAAACATCATATGCTATTTGGAAGCAGTTACTTGCAGCGATTTCCTTCGAGCCTATTTTTGCATGACAGGGGAAATGCAGATTGATGGTCTCCAGCACACCTCGCACAAAACAGAGAAAGGAAAGGGGTCGCTTTACTTTCCTCCCCGAGTATTACCAGCGCAGAAGGCACAGCAGGAAGGAGCAGCACGACTCAAGAGCTCTCACTGCGCCAAGGAAGCAATCAAGTGTAATAAGCAAAGGGCACGAGTTCAAACCACATCTCATCTCTGTCTCCACCTGCCTGAAAGCCTTGTTCTTATTAATTTGTTTACATCGATAAAACACGAACTGGAGAACATCCGCGAACACATCTACTGTACGGCTCTTAGGAATGGGGAACAAGACTAAGAGCGAAAACATTAAACCTGAATTTCAGAAACACCAAAAATTACAACTACAAGTTTACCTCATAGACGTTAAACACAGGGTTGTATTATTCCCTCACTTTCAGGAAAAAAGCTAATTTGTGAAACAGAAGAAAAGCAAAATAAAAGAGACACCAAAAATGTTGCTGTGAGCAACACAGTCCCCATGAAATAAATAGGAGATGGCTTAACTTTCCCTCAGGTGGTTTACTTTTTAGAAACAGAGGATGTGGTGGGAAACTAAAGTTCATATTCACTCAGAATGGAATAAAATTCAACTACTCAGGATGTGATTTTAAACATCCTTCATTGCTACCTACATAGCAAAATGTCAAGAATTCCTGAAGCTACAGCTAAAAAATGTGGCGAAGTCTAATGAATCAGTTTTTAGTTTGAGTTAGGGTAGGAATTACATCTGAAATAGTCATCTGCTGAAACAAATTAGGTATACTTTTGAATGCCTAATACCAATATTAAAATAAACGTCAGAGAGGCTGTGTGAAAAATGTTTTGGACCAATGGCTTTAAACTATAAACATAGGTTTTTATCTCTATCTTTTAATCGTCAGTTTTGTTTATGGACAACAAAAAGCTTGCTGACACTTAAAAAGCCTTCATCAAAAGACACTCTTTCATCACTACAGAAAGGAAGAGAACAGAAGCAACATCAAAATAGAGGGATCCATTCTAAAACAGAAAAGGGAATGAAGACGAATAAGGCTCTGCAGTTGCACAGATAAGCCGAGGAACCAGAGAGCACTGAGCACAGTGAGAGCTGTGCCACACATCATCCACATTCATCCACGCATTGCCATGTCATTCTTGAGAAATGGGCAGAGAGAAAATAGCGTGCTAAATTAAAAAATGAGAAGATATACTTTTTACCAAAACTTGAATACAATATTTAAAAAAAAAAACACATTACTTTTAAGTTCAATTCATCGACAACTGAAAGCAACTTTGACATCACATGCACTTCACCAAAAGGTAAAAATGTGTTTACCTCTTCTGCTGCAAACTTTAAAACTGCTGTAAATGGTGTGTTTTCTGGTACACTTAATCTGGAAAAAAAAAAAGATATGTTTACGACGATATGTATTTAGCATGATTATTAAAAAAAAAATTCTGTCACCTTATCAAACAAAATAACCTGAATGTTTAGCTAAATGTCAAAAAGAAATTAGAAATTAATCCTCTTGCATCACCTCTATTTCCATTTCTAGCCTTAAGGCTTAGGTGTCTAAAGATGAAAAATTGCCTGCCACATTTCATTGATTGCAGTCTCTCGGGTACAGCTTGTCTTGCACCTCAAAAACAGGAAGGAGATTTACAAGACCTTCTATACATCTATCCGTCTATCCATTTCCTAACCACTTCTTTCAATTCAGGTTCAGGGGAGAGCCGGAGCCTATTCCAGCAAGCGATGGGCGCAAGGCAGGGTATATCCTGGACGAGATGTCTGTCCACTGCAGGGAACACACAGACACGCACACACTCACAACAGGGCCAATTAACCTCCAAGTATGTTTTTGGACTGTGGGAGCAAATCAGAGCACCCTGAGGAAACCCACACAAACACAGGGAGAACATACAGTACAAACTCCACACAGATAGCAGACCAGGTGTGGACTCAACCCTGGGCCCCAGCACTGCAAGACAGCAATGGTAGCCACTGTGGCACCCACCCACTATACAGGAAAATAAAAACCACAACAGACTTTAAAATAGCGATCATTTCTTTATTAAGAACAAAAAAAAAAACAAATCTCTAAGGACCGTAACTGAAGGAGAAATAATTTACAGGTCTGTTTCACCAGAATTGAAAAATATTGTATCTCGCTTCTTTTACATTTGATGTAAAGATAAAAGGGCAATTTTAAAATATTCTTCTCTGACCAACTCATTTGCTATGCCCAGTGTAGCAACACATGAAAATGCTCATTTTAGTATAAAAAGTTTTTAAAAATAAGATGGTTTGGATATAGCTGCATAACCAAACGTCTTTTTCAGCTGTGATCAAGGCTAGTGTTCCATTTTAGGAAAGACTAAGCTACAGAACATGCGAAAATGAAGATATGAAGATGTACTGAATTTCAACATTGGGAAAAGCATGTCAACCTATGAAAACTATGCTTTTACACTTTGCAAGTGCATTTTCCTTCATATTAAAATACATACCTGACACACACTAAAGCTAAGAATTAGGGTTCTCCAGTCAAATTCCATAATGCCATAATTCCATAATTTACACAAACAAACAGAAGTGTAAGGGGTAAGGGTGATTTCCTGAAAGTAAATTGCCATTTGACACACTTCCTTTTAGCTTCAAGATTTAAAGAGTAAGGATGACAAGCACTGTCATTTAAAGCTCCAGACAAGAAACTATTCAATAGCATTGATTTAATTCTCCATATTTGAATTAAGAAATGATGCAACACGCAAGTTAGCTTCAGCTCTTAAGTCTGTTACCATTTCATTCTCACAACAAGACCCCTAGTCATCCAGCATACATTAAAGGTGCTTGTACTGTTCTTATGAAATAATGTGTCCACTAGTCTTTTCATGAATCTGGGCACGGTTCCATTGCTTTGAACAGAATATCTCATTCATTAAACACAAGCACAAAAAGGGAAGACACGGACATTTAAGTAATCTAATAGAAAAATAAAATGTATATCTTGGAAACTCAAAAATAAAATAAATATCAGTTTTACAGTTAATCTTAATTTTGTCTAAATATTATTTTAATGACAGTTAAAGAGAAATATTTTTCTTGCAACTTTAGTTTTTTTTTAACTAGTTCTGGCATGGAATATGTTTCTCGGTTGTACTGTTTAATGGATTTGAACACTTTCCATGCCTTACGTTTTAAGGTGTATGCTGGAGAAGCAAACTGCATTTATGTTTAAGGTTCACTGGTCAAAGTCTGTGAACTGAGGACTGTGTAACACCAATATTCTTCCCCATGCTATTTCCTCTCACTCAGTCGTTTTTCAGATGCAGCACTCATTACCAGAAACAACATGCCAGAGCAAATGCAACAGTATATCACATCCTTTTCATTTCACTAGAGTTAATATCACTGCAAATCAGTCTTTTTTCAAATGAGCAAACTGTAGTTTTATTCCTGAACTCTTATGTATGCAAAGTAATACTTTGGACTCAAGAAAAATACAAATCTGAAGTATCACACATGACTGTTTTACATAAAAATGTATTAATTCCCTTGATTAAGGTTAATAAAATCATTGTGGTTAATAAAGTTAAAATAATTTAAACACCATAAAATATGACAGATTACATCAAATGAATCGGTTTATTGAAAAATAACTGACTCAAATATATAACAATTATGCCTGTTTTCACAGCTGCTTGGAGATCAACAGTTCCTTATAAAGACAGGGGACACGGCACTTAACCTGTCACGATACCATAATTGATAACACAATATGCACTATAACAGTATATGCTCTAAATACATGTTTCGTAAAAGTGCAAAGATAATTACAATCACTTGTATCAACTGCATCCAATAAAAAAACGTTTTATAAGACAAAACATATCTAGATAACAACACAGACGAAAACTCCCGAGTTATAATAATCTATTCAGAAAAAACTGATGTCTACCTGGCAAGTGAACACAACACACTATATGAATATAACGTGAACACCGACGGTCATAATTTTTAGCACTTGCTAGATAATACACATTTGACAGTTGGATTTATTGTAGTGCACACTGAAATACACCATCATCAATCGGTCAATAAACGAAAATACTGAATTAGACACGTAAACACCGATTTTGTAACAGCACGCCTACCACTTACACTTTGTAGGGTAGTCTGGGATCCGACGTTAGGGTGATTTTAAACGTTACCTTTGACCTAAGAGAAAGAAGATACAAGCCACTGTTATTATAAACCAATCAGCTTTTCTCACGTTTATTTTCTCTAAAATCAGTGCACACTTGAAACCACATCTGAACTTACATGTTTTCCCGTGTCTCTGTTTATCTGTCAGCACCATGCACACCAGGAAGTGAAAAGACCCAACTAGGCACACGTCATCTATAAGAAAACAGGATAATTGTGAAAATCTGTCTTTATTTTTATATTTTATGAGATTTTGTATTCTTTATTTTCAAGTAGTAAACGATCCGTATTCTAAATACAATTTCACGTGTCTTTTAGACTTAAATTATTGTTTTTTTGAACAGGCACATCTTCTACTGCCTAAGAGTGTAGTTACCGTATAAACGACAGATGAGGCGCACTTGTTTTTTTGTGGCAGAGAAGGTTCTGCACTGTTATAAATGGACACATAAAAGATTAGGATTAAAAATGATACAAAAGTCCCTTCACTGCTAAAAGTTACCTCGTTGTACGAAGGCCAGGGAAATACGGACTATTATCGAGTGCCTTTCAGCCAATACAATGGTCTAATTACATCCCAGTGAGACATGGATCTAGTTACAAGCAGTCTCATTTACTTTGAATATATCAATACTTGGGAAATTGAATAGAGAAGGCCTGGAAAATATCACTGAAGTCTTCCAGCAAGTTCAGAGTTATGAATTAAAGCTCATACCTTCAAAGGATCACCTGCTGAAGGATAAGGTATTCCATGGACGTGTAGTAAGAGTACTGGGCATTGCCACTAACTCGATCTCAGTCTGGGGGATCCAATGTTAGAATGCATCCATTACCCTGTGTAGTGATGTAATGGTTTGAATTTACTGGAATAATTAGAAATTTGAACTTTAATTGCAAGAGTGCTTTTATGACTACCAGGAATCAACCTGCACATTGATTCAAAGTATGCAATAAAACATTTTATTAAAAGATGAACAAATGGGCCTAGCAACCCAAGAATAATACTTTATGTAAATCAATCTCCCTTGATATAAATGGCTGATCGCCATTTATACAAATACGTGAACACTAATGTTAGGGTTAAAACATACTGTATCAAATACACTGAAGCACTCGCTTTGGTCAAACTCAAGTTAAATCAACATTAATAGTTTCAACATTAATAGAAGTTTCATTCCACACCTCTCTGCACCCATTCTGACTTCACACCTCTTGATTGGCCTCTCTTTCTGTCCCCTGCTCCTGCCTCTCACTCCTCCTTCCCAACCTTTGTTCTCCCGCTACTTTACCTTTGCCTACTGCCCTGTCTCTCTCACACCTGAAGAAGGCTCCACGGCCGAAACGTTGTGTTCTCTTTCTTCTTTTTTTCAGCATGGAATAAACCTATTACTTGTTCCTTTGCAGCCTACGCATGCTGACGCAGCTACCCACCTAAATATTTAGTTACTGAGCTACAGTTTATCCAACATGTTTGAAAAAAGTTGAATACTCAGATTCCTAACATGAGTTTATGCAAAGCAACATGTTGGCTAGGTCTTCCTGTGGAGAGTATGAAAGTTCCATGGAGAGATGGAGGCTGGAGGTATGAAACAGTCATGTCTGTGAACAAATCAAAAGTGAAACCAAAACAAAGATAACTTCTGCTTCTGTTTTGGAGCCTAACAAAACTGGTTGTCATGCATTTCCACTCTATATTAAGCCAGCCTTCTATGCAGAACTACCAGTCATTAACAATAAAAATATAAACACAAAGGATAAATGGTCAAAGAAAGGTTAAGTCTCTACAAATAGTCTGTTACTGTGGTTATTTTCCTCATTACGTCCATACAGTAGTTCAATTGACACATAACCCAGTTTCTCTTAGGTCCCTGGATAGGCTGAGTTTCCATCACAGGACCAAATGCTGAAAATATTTATTTAAATGAGATTGAATTTGATTGTAAGTGTCATTCTGACGTTTCAGTCTGTGAAGCGTCTTTTGTTGCCACACAGCAGACAGCCTGCAGTGTGAAAATAGTCAACTAATGTATCTGGAAGCCACAGGTGCACCAAGGTAATTGGAACCAAGGCTTGAAGTCTTATCTTTTGTGCAGTCAACCAGTCTTCAGCTGTGACATCTCGAGTGGGAGGATGAGCAGTTAATAAGGTGATAAATCTGAGCCCTTCTTCTCCTGGAAAAAAATCTTTCAGAGTGGGTACATACAATGTACATAGTTCTTTATTCCCTCCAAGAACATATGCTGAATGGAGAATTTGGACAGCTTTGGAGAAATGCAGGCTTGGATTTTTCTCCAGAACATACTGTAGCTTTAGAGAACATTCTGTCATGGCAGGCAGACAGACTTCGGCACACCTCTTCTTTTCAAATTCTGGCAAACCACTCAACAATGTAGCAGTGTGAGACTGCCAATCAATATTTGTAGCAGACTGGCAATGTTTGAGAAACATGTGCAGGTCTTCTAGTGGGACATTTTGTGCTGTTGGGATACGTTTTTTTGCTTCCAGAAACTTTAATTCTGAACCCTTAAAGGTTGTTTGCAGATCTCCTTTAGATTATTTTTTTATTTTAAAAGATCCTTTAAGTCTTACACATACCTTACAGAGTAGCTGTGTAATTTATCAATGACGTCATCAGTCAAAATACTGATGTGATCTAAAGAATTTTTCCAAGTACTGATCTAGGAAAAGAATGTAAGTGTTGGCATAAACTGGATAATGTGTTACCTCTGAGGACTAGACAAACTACAACAGGAAATCAAACCAAGCAAGTAGCCAGCGAACAGGAAGAGACTTGGGTGTCGCTGATCAGCCACAAGGTCCAACTGACAACGCATCCAGCAATTCAGATACAGGATCTGAAGGAGAAGCAAACAAAAGACTCTAGGCTATCTGTGGTCACAAATGGAAAGTCACAAAAATGCTGCTCACCTCAAAACAATTCTCACTTGAAACCTCAACCCTCAGTAAACACTGGATATGTTGGACCCAGAGCAGTGGAATGTGTGTGTGTGGGGGGGGGTGACATGTCCTTCTTCATGTGCAAATGACAACAAATTCTTTGACCTAACAGGGAGAGTTCCTTTCAGGTATCAGGCAAGAGTGCCAATGGATTGCCTGCTCATTGACGTGATGGGGCCCAGGGGCAAAGGGTTCCCAACTTAAACATTAAAAGTTTAATGTTGAAGTTGAAGCATTATAACATTTAAAAAGGAACAAGTAATAGGTTTATTCCATGCTGAAATGAGAAGAAAGAAAACACAACGTTTCGGCTGTGGATCCTTCTTCAGGGACACCTGAAGAAGTTAGTTTGGGTTAGTTTGCAAAGTTGACAGTTCTGCCCTATATACAGTAGCACTTTGTAGATCTTAAACAGTAATTCATCACACCCAGCAACCACTAGGTGGAGACACCTATAATTTATTTCCATTTGGATGGCCTTTAGATGCTGTTTGTTTTACATCCCACGGAAGAAAGTAAATTCAGGAATGTAATTGGGTAGACAGGATTGTTACATCTTGTATGCAACAAAGGTCTAGAGATAGCTGGGAGAGATGTTACACATGATGGAACAGGTAATTGTCTTTTCAAGAACTCATTCTTATTTGAACAAAAGAAACACCAAAGAAACATTGTCCAGAACTGACAGGCAGGTGAATGAGATGCATAGCGAGAAAGATTAGGATTCAATTCTCTGTGAATAAAAGTAAAGATATTGATTTGGTGCTGACAGAGTCCACAATATGGGCAGGAGTGATGATAGTGTTTCAATAGTGAGACCTTGTCAGTAGTATTTGACATCTCAGCTTTGAAGAAGACTGTGGTGCTGCCTGATTTATATACTGGTTTATATGATACTAGTGATCACCAGGATGATACTTGCTGCTTTAGAACCAATCATAGAAATTACTAAAATATGTAAGATGTAAGTGTTGTTTGTTAACATATAATTTTGTCAGTGATAAATCTAAATTCCTTAAATACTCATTTATTCTAGCTAGTGGAGTTCTAGGAAATAAACTAACTTAAATAACAGGGCTCCAATATGTCTGAAAGTAACAGATTGATAGACTCTAGTGCACTGTCACATGTATCTACTGGTGATAACTAACAGCTTCTGCACAATAGTGTTGTTATTTTAAGCTATTTTGTGTCAGATTCTTTTCTCTTTCCTTGTCTCTTTGAATTTCAGCCTCTTCACAGCCACTTCACAGATATTACAGGAAGCAATATGAGCTATGGACATGCATGAATTTACCTGCTTTAGCATTAAAATAGTAAAAGGAACTATGATTCATGGGTTTTATTCCAGCATCACTAAGAAACTTTAGTGATAAAAATTAATGATAGAAGAACACAAGTGCAGTAGGTCCAATATAACGAAGTAAAAATAAAATAATAATCTTTTGAAATAATGTAATTTAGCTTATTATTTTCTTTTAATCAAGTATTTCAGCAGCCCAAAATTTCTCATGTTGGGTTTGCCTTTGTAAAAAATGGATTATTGTAAAGTATCGGGAAACATTATAAATGGAAGCTCAGGAGAATTTATTCCATTTCAATTAGCAAAGTGGTAAGCACTGCAGATTTTTCTTAAGTTTTGCTAGTGATGATGAAAAGCAGCAATATTTCCCCCTGGCTTACTTCTGTTTATCTTCTCTCAGTATGTTTCATGTGATTTCTTTAAACTAATACACAGCCTTTCGATGTAGATGAATGTTGTTTTTGAGGCTGGAAAACAAATGGGAGCTAATTTTAAACATTGAAGAATGAAGAACATCTCGGCAGTAATGAAAAACAATTACCCACATTATTGTTACACTGAAGCCTACTGCTTACAATTCTTCCATTCTTTCTGAGTAGGTCTTCAGACATTGCATACAACTTCCTTACTGACTACTTTGATAATTTAAACTGAATATAGTATTTATAATACTTTTAAAACCTGTATTTTATACAATCTGTTTATAGTTTATTATAAATATTGTTGTTTTCCTTGATTAAAGATGCAACTATTTATGGCAAATTACTCATTTTAAATGGGAAGAGGATTCTGAAAAGATGCCTGACTAATACTTACCTCAGGTACCCACCCTCAAGCTCTGTAAACTGTCCAGAGATTACTCTCAAAATTAATTGACACCAGGTCGGGTTTACTTTGACAAAATAAAACAAAAAATAATTTAGTCAACGTGGGGAAGC